ACGACCACAACTCTGTCAATGTGCGGGGCGTTGGCCAATCTCTAATCGCCGCTATCTTATTGTCCTCATGTTTTATGTCATCTCCATCTAAGACGTGGCTCAAGTACAGAACTTGTTTCTTGGCCTATGCACACTTTTTCGTGTTGATCTTTAAGTTGGCTTCCCTCAGCTTCTCCGAGACCTGTCTCAGATGGCCCTCATGGTCCCGAAGGGTCTTACTAAAGACTAGAATATTATCTAAGTATCTACTACGAATCTATCTAACCATGGCCTAAATAGATCGTTCATACAACACTGGAATGTAGCTGGCGCATTGGTTAGTCGAAAGGGCATCAATATAAACTCGTAGTGCCCATATCTAGCCCTGAATGTCGTCTTGTACTGATCATGAGGGTGGACTTCTATCTGATGATAGCTTGACTTTAGATCTATCTTTGAGAAATACTTGCAGCCCTGCACCCGATCCAACAGATCATCTATACGGGGCAATGGTTTTGCATTCTTTACTGTGACGACATTGAGACCTCTATAGTCTATGCACATTCGAAGCTCTCCCTCCTTCTTGGGGACAAACAGAACAGGTGCTCCAAATGAAGACGAACTGGGCCTAATCCAACCCTTCTCGAGGAGCTCATCCAACTGCTTGCGCAGCTCCTCTAACTCCCTTGGGGACATTCTGTAGATTGCTCCCTTAGGGGTCCTACTGGCAGGCTCTATCTCAATGTGTTGCTGGATGGGCCGCGACACTACTGTTGTAGGCGGCTCAGACAAGTCTGCCTCCAACAACTTGGCAATAGTTGGGTTAGTGGGTTCCTCTTCCTTAGGCTCAGTGAAAGGGCTCACATAGGCCACAAAAACCTGTTCCTCTAAGTGCTCCTTCTCCACCAAGTGCGCGAACGCGGGCGCACTGAGGCAGCAATGTGCCAGGGGGTTGTCTACTCTTGACACATGAAACAGGCGAGCAGTCTTGACTTCGCCTGATGGACTAGGGAACCTACACTCGTTCTATCTCAAGTGGAGTGCGGCCCTTGTTGCCTCTTCCCAGTCCATTCCTAGGACCATGTCGAATGGAAGGTTATCCTCTACGAGGAGAGTCAGGGAATGGAGAACTCTCGCTAGTTTCCCATTCTTTTCTAGACGGAAGTACGCCTGGACTCCTGCAATGTAACCCTCGACTCGCATAGTGCGATTGTCTGCGAGGATATTGACTATAGGGTCTTCTAGCTTTTGGACCTTCAGGTGCAATGTTTTTCTATTGATATAACTGCGAGTGGCCCCACTATCTATAAGGGCCCCTACTCTGCCTCTAAAGACTTCTACATCTACTAGAACTAGTTGTTCTTTACCATCTTTCTTCATTTTGGCCCAGGCCGGCATCCTCTCCTTCAGCTCCTCTGCCAGGCCTGTGAGGGAAGTGCCTAGAGAGACTTTAACACAAGCAGTCTCTTGACAGCTATCTAGGCATTGGGCAGCAACCTCTGCCATAGACACATGTGGGTTGGGAGTTTCTCTCTGGTGCGCGCACTCTTCTCCACATGGTCTAGGGGTAAGGGCAGTTGCGACCCCTACCAACGGTTGCCTTTTGCTGCCTATGCAGCGTACCGGGCCTCTCTATATTTGGGGTAGTATTTAATGATGTGCCCCGGATCACCGCAATAGATGCACTGATCCTGGTCTATCCTCTTTTGCCATACTATCTGCTCTAGGCCCAGATCTTCCCAAGGCCTGCCTTGTGGCAAGCCAGGGTGCCATCCACCCCTCCTGGGAGGTGATCGAGTAGAACGAGAGTGGTTTTGTGGGGGACCTTGACCCCTGCCTCCCTCTTGGTGGTTTCCTCTGCCGCCAACCCCCTGATCGCCCTGTCCTCGACCACCAGAGGCCCGACCCCCTTGGCCCCGGCCTCCTCTTCCTTGCAACCTCCCCCCAGCCGCAACAACAACGTAAGTTCTCCCCTGACTATCGCCACTGCCCTCCTCCTCTAGGCCCCATCCCATCTAATCATATGGGACCTCTTCCGTACCACCCTCATCTAAAATCAGGATCAAGTGGTCCTTGGCCTTGACTTGGCCAGAGATGGTACGGCCCTTCCATTTTTGGCCCTTGTCCCGATCCTTGTGCTAGAAGCTGGTAGCTGGCATGGACTGGGCCTCGAAAGCCACCACTTCCCTACTCAAGGTATCGTAGGTCATAGTGGGCTCCTTACTTTTCTCAAAGAAGTGTCCGCGCAAGGGCTCAGGCATGGCACGATAAAACAGTTGGACCAACTGGGTCTCAGTGACCCCATGGCCAGGGACAACTACCAACTCATCCATTACTCCCTTGAGTGCCCCGATGGCGCGCGAATGTACGGTCTGAAGTTTGTCAGAGGCCCTAATTCCTCAAGCGACATCGGCAAATCTCTCACGCAGTAACTTGAAGAATTCATTCGGGGGAGTAATTATGGAATACGTGACCATATCGTTTTTTGCAGTTAGTTGCGTGGGTGAGCGATCGGGTGAAGTTCGCTGCTTCGTCCTTGAGGGCATGGAAAGCGATCAGGACTTGCTCCTCAGGCAAGATCTTCTGGAGGTGAACATAAGAATTGATGTTCGCCTCCCAGTTGTCAAAGTTTTTTCCCTTCTTCCCACTATAGGAATCAGGGAACTTGACTTTGACTGGATCTCTACGGGGACGTGCTTCCTTCTCCTTTGGAGCTGGCAACTTGGCGCCCTGTATGGCACTTGTGCAAAATCGCTTTGTGCTCTCCATCCTCGCCTTTACCTTTGTGCCCACGTGCATCATCATCTCACGTGCGAATTCCCTAAAGCCTAAACGTATGGATCGCAAGGTTACGTCATGGCTCCTCGCAAACTGAAACTGTTCTTCCTAAGCCTTGGGCAGGAGTTCTATATTCCTTGCCATGACTTCCATCTTCCCCTGAAAATCCGCCCGCGCCTTCTTTTGCACTCTTTGTTCCTTCATTGCCTCCAACTCTTTCACCACCTTACTGGCCGGCACCATCTGTTTTTTCTTTTCCCTGGTCAGGCACAGCTTCCACTCCAAGCTCTTTTCCTCTTCAATTGTCTGACGACTTAGAGGGTCTTCTTTTGCCTCCCATTCCTTCACTATTGCTTCCTATTCTGCCCTCGGTACATATAACATCGCCTCCTCTTCCTCTCTCAGGGATAGATTAGTGACCCACACAGATACCTTTTTCTCCAACCATGGGTCCTCCTCCTTCGTGCCACTAGACTCCCATCTCTCTCTTGTGACTTTTATGATCAAGGGGACCTCTGCCACCTTTTCTTCTTCTTCTTCTTCTTCGATCGCTTTCAATTTTTCTTCTTCTTTCTTCAACTTCTCCAATTCCTCCTCCAACTTCTTCTTCTTTGCGGCCTGCTCCTCCAATAAGGCCAACTTCTTCGCCTGCTTCACCACCCTCCTTTTCTCTTTCTTGGCCTTTTGCTCGGCGAGGATCTTTGCGGCCTCCTCCTCCTGCTCCTTTGTGTAGGGAGTGGTGCTAGTACCACCCCTTGTCTCAACTCTACACGTGAAGGTATTCCAGAATCCTAAGGGGAAAAGGAGATGCCAAAGGGTCCTCCAGAGGGAGAACCCCACGAGCAAGCCGTACATCGGATAGTCATCCATGGTGTTAGGTGACGACAAAGGACTGTCCCACTCCTCACCACTTAAACCTACCCACTGACTGACTGACTGTCTGTCTGTCTAAGGACTACAGGATCTGTGTAGGACCCCGTCAGCTATGGTCTCTAGCGTAGACCTACTACTAAAGTTGTCACTACAGGACTTCAATGTTGATTAGGAGGCATTTAAGGAGATCCCCCATAACTCCTCAGGAATTCTTTAACGTCGCAGATAGGACGACGCGATCAGCAAGTCCTCTCAAGACTTAGACAACTGGTTGTGAGCCCATAGCTCGGATTTTGGGCCTACCATGCCACACTGAGCAGCCCGCCGGTCTGTACCAGTCCTTGGGAGGGTTTGTCCTCCGGGTCAATCAGTCGTCAGACATGGACTTAAGCCCTACTCAACCCGTGTGGGTTTGGTCAACACAGCTCTACGACCTCATACACGGAGTTCCTATCACCTGGACAGAAGCGACTCGATGCAGAAAGAAGAGACAGACGGACTCAACAAGTACCATGGGGTGAGTGCACATCCATAGGGCGAGGGGATAGGTTGAAGGCTTGGCGAGAGTATACCAACTCCAACTTGGTCAAATTTGTGGTCAACAACTCCCGTCAACGCTGGTCAACATTGGTCAACTTTTTGGTCAAAGTCTAACCCCTCAGTCAACACTTTGGTCAACCCCGGTCAACTCCTCGGTTAAATGCCTCGGTCAATCCTTGTCAACTCCTCGGTCAACACTTTGGTCAACCCTGATCAACTCCCTGGTCAACACCTTGGTCAACGCTCAACTCGGCTATGGCTGCCGCCCCTTATCTCTCTCACCAACCTTCGATGTTCTCCTTCTCCCTCCTTCCTTCTTTCTCACTTATTTCTTCCTTCACCCTGGCTATGTCTTCTCTCTCTTTCTTCGTCCCTCCTTTCTCTTCCTCGGCTATGGCTTCTCTCCTCTTCGTCTCTCCCTCCTCCTCCACTCGATCTTCTTTCTCCTTCATTTACTCCGTGTCCGAGCTCGGCGGCTATGGCCGCCACCTCCTTCCTTGGACCGCACAACCAATCTTGTATCGCTTCTCTCTCTCTCTCTCTCTCTCTCTCTCTCTCTCTCTCTCTCTCTCTCTCTCTCTCTCTCTCTCGTCGTTGTCGTTTGCAGGTGCGCGATGTCTCCTTCCAGCGGCGCAGCTATGGCGGACCTCTCTTTCTTGATGGCGCGTCTCTCTCTCTCTCTCTCTCTCTCTCTCTCTCTCTCTCTCTCTCTCTCTCTCTCTCTCTCTCTCTCGTCGTTGTCTTTTGCAGGTGCTCGATGTCTCCTTCCAGCGGCGCAGCTATGGCGGACCTCTCTTTCTCGATGGCGTGTCTTTTGCTATGGCGCCCAGCTATGGCACATTGCTGACGGCAATGGCGCATGGAACAGCAGGAACCAGCTCCGATACCAATGTGATCAGACTCGCCTTCTTCTCACTTCGCATGCATGCAAGCAGATGGCAAACCACACTTGCGCCAAGCGCCCACACAAAGCTCAGAGGTATTCAAGCCAAGAACACAGTTCGGATACAAACTCACTTCAATTGGCTATGGCGCCTGAGCACCTACACATCTCCCCACTGACATTGTATTCACACAACTCTTTACATGCACTCCTCGTTGAATCTCCCTGGATATCCCACGCACACACACTCTGTATCACACACACATACACACACTCTCACTGCCACCTATCGCTAGCTATGGCAGCTATGGTCGCTAGCTACCACTCCCTACAAGCAGCGATGGCTGCTCTATCCGCCTATCGCTAGCTATCGCAGCTATGGTTGCTGGCTACCTCTCCCTACAAGCAGCGATGGCTGCTCTATCTTCCTCGCAGCCTACTTCGACTTCGGGCATTTGCAGATCACCTGGCACAAGACTCTAGGGTAGCGCTTCCGCATGGCTCATGCAGGAATGAATGAATGAATGAATGGACGTCGCCTCTTGATTTATACTTCTGGAGGTCACCGGTCTGCCCCTTTCCACGGGGCCCATGGTGTACAGAGTCCCACATGGTACTTGCTGACTAGACTAAGTGCGACTGGGATTGGGTACTGCTGACTCGACAAATTTGGACTCCTACTTACCCACTTGCCTCTGACCTAGCGTGTACAAACTCTCTAAAGGCCACTTCCGGACCTTCCGGAAGTCTGTGGACTTGGCCTTTCGGGACTATAGCAGCATTGACCTTTACCTTTCAGGACTGTAGCAGCTACGAGTTGACCTTTAAGAGTTGCGACCACTATGACCCCTACACATGTATGACCCCTACTTCTGAACGTCTACGGTTGAAGACCTAACAGCTACACAGACCTACAACAAACAACATTCAGCTACCAAAACATAGGTCACGGGTTCAAAACACACAGGGTCGACTTAATATTGTACACGAGTGAGGTAATGTCGCATACCGTAACGGTACAGACCAGAACAAGAACCGACCTCTCTCACATAGTACAAGGTAGCGCAGCGGAAGGCTAAAATACCAATGATCCGAACAATCAATGTCGCAATGCAGACCAAACATACATCATTATCATCGCAAGGTGTGAAGGGCCTGGCGCTACACAGGGAGAATGCGCCAGGTCCAGACCATACACAGACGAAGAGGGGGGGATCAGACGAAGAAGAGGGGGAAGATGGGAATGTCGTCAACACCAAGTCTTCAGTACAGGTCCCAAATAATCCCTCGTCAAATGTCTCAATCCCGATGTTGAGTCTAGATCCAAATGTCGTCAAGTCCCAACGTCACAAATCTCTCTCTCTCTCTCTCTCTCTCTCTCTCTCTCTCTCTCTCTCTCTCTCTCTTGTAGTCTGCAGATACTGAGAAGTCAGGAAGTGAGAGGGTGAGAGAGAGATGGTGGACTTAGAAGAGGAAGAAGAAGAGCTCTCTCTCTCTCTCAGTCCGGTACTAACCTGTGAAGGTGGCGCCTTGTTGCAGGTACATTGAAGGCGAAGTTGGAGCTATGGCGCCACAGGTAAATCTCCCTGGCCTCCGCCAACCATCTCTCTCTCTCTCTCCAATGCTACTCTAGCTCCTAATAGCGCCCAGCGCTGAAGACTACTGCTAACGCTACTGCTATTACTGCAGCGCTCCTCCAAAGTGCTGCTGCTGAATCCTGAAGACTGCCTCCTGCCTCCTGCACGTGAAGTGCCTGTGAACTGCCTAGGAAGTCCCTACGTACTCCCTATGCCTCCCGACTGCCTGCAGGGTGGGCCAATCTTATATAGTGCTGGCCCGTCCAGGAGGCTGCTCTTGCCAATGCCAAAACGTGCCAGACCCTGGCGTTGAAGTTCAAACAAAGGTTGTCTTGAAAACAACCCAAAATGGCCTATGCTAAAACCCTGGTCTCGTGTCTAAGTTTCAGGGCAGGTCGGCTTTATGAGGGCCTGAAAATGGCCCTCGTTTTCAGGCTTTTGGGCTGAAGCGACATAGGGCCTGTAGGCCCTCGTTTTCAGGCTTTTAGGCTGAAACGACACAGGGCCTGTAGGCCCTCTCGTTTTCAGGCTTTTAGGCTGAAACGACACA